AGTGATTAAAAATTATTGCTTCTAGCTAACCACCCTATTGTGTTCACATTTTTCTTAGACGTGTATTTCTTCAATAATATGTTTCACCTACATGTTACTATTGAATCTTGTTTCATTTTTACATGAAGTTAAACATATTTGGCAAGAAAAAAAAATAAGCAGGAAAATAATAAAAACAATAGTAAAATAAATTGTCTGAAAAACTACAATTGTTTCTTCTAGTTGATGTATATAAGGGTTTTATACCTGGTTTCTTTGTTCACTTTATAATCAGCTAAAAGTGCAACAGCTGTGTTGTTTAACAAGGATGAGTCACTGGTATTTTTAGAAATACGAAACATTTAATAAGAATAATCCAGATATATTTCAGCTGCAGATAAACTCAGAATGAATGAATCTTTTGAGTTAAATAGTTATTTCCAAACACAAACAATGCACAAAATAAGCAAATAGCTGACACTGGTTTTAGACTTTTTATTTTAATTTTATTTATCATGTAATTATTATATGCCATGGTTATTATCTGCATATCATCACCAGTAGAAAATGATAGATCAGACTCAGAATTGAAGGCTGCCATTTTGTCTGATTGATATTTCAATGTTTTCTGTTTCAGACGTCACTGCAACATATGCTGAGATCAACCACCAGGCTAAAGCCAATAGAAAGAACAAAGGTAGAGATATATTGTTGAAGCGTTATTGTTGTTGTTGTTGTTGTTGTGTGTGTATTATCATAACTAATGTGCATCATCATCTTCTTGTTGACAGAAAGACGAAGTCCTGCAGCCACAAATGAAACGGTTTATTCTGGCATCAGGTCAGGAGCAGCTCTGGACGTCGACTCTGCCATGTAGGCTGCAGGAAGTTTTGGTTTATAACAGGATTTATGATGTGGATTACGCTCATAACCTTCTTTTGTGTTCTGGTTACAAGTCTTCAAAAAAACCTGTATTAGCTGAACAAACAAACACTGTCTGAAACTGAAGTATAAAATAAATATAACACACACTCAGTAGTGTGGACAGAAATGCTTTGCATAATCCAGTATAGACAGGCAGTACTGTACATATTTTTCATATAATTGATCTGGAGATCCAATCTAACAAATTCAGTCCGTTGCTGTTTGGTTACATAGATGCATCAATATTACTTCTTATTTTTGCTTTAGCTTCCTAAACTAACTTTTACATGAGTGATGGTTTTTATCTTGTATATTAAATACCTTTTGGAGCTGAGCAAAATAGTATTTACTAAATAAAATATTCTCCTACACTTTTAAACTGTTGTAAATATAAATTTTCATCTGTTTTTGCAATATCACTTTTGTCTTTTTGACACAAGCAATGCTGATTTGTCTCGGTATTTTATATGTTAAATACTCTGCAGCTTTTTAAATGCTTAACATGTATTCACTGAAAATAAACTGTTACACATCAAATATACCAAATGGTTGTCAAATTAAACTGAGTCGTCTGCCAACTAAAAAATACATATGACGCGGCATATTAGCTTAGCATGTTAGCTTAGCACAAATAATGACTCAGAGAGCTTTGAAGCACATATGTTTTCTTCTGAAACTAGAAAAAATGAGACACTTTTTATTGTCAGTTGGTTGGAAAATTGAGATTAAAGCACCAGGAAAGAAGTTCCAGACCTAAACTCTGAAACAATCTGCAGTCTGTATTCAAAAGCCACAGGAGAGCAGTGCTGAGTTGTCATACCACTAAAGAGAACTTCTGTTTCCTTGGTCAACACTTCTTGAGGAGGATGTGACCTCTTGGTGGAAGATCTGGACTAACGTGAAATATTTAGCACAGAAAACTGCAAATTAAATGCCACCAGAAAACCAAATACTTTTCCATGACGTCACAGCTACAACCCTTAGCAGAGCTGCTAACGGCTTCTTTACGCGGAGCTAAGAAATTAAGATATATCATATTGTAAATTAAGCTAAAGTTAGGATCAAGTTAAAGTTCAGTGTATGGTGTAGGTTTGACTGATATTATCATTAGAAAGGAAGACTTGCCATCCTTCTTACAACCTGACAACGAAAAACAAAACACATGGAAACTTTTTTTCACTCTCTGTACTTTTATTATTTTAAATAGATTTAATTTTTTTTAATCTATTTAAACTCCAAACTATTTCACAGTGTCTGATCTCATGTCTGTTTTTTCACACCTACAGACTTTATATATCTGTTGTAGGTGAGATCATTCTCACCCATCACTTGTTTTCAGATGAAAAGGGGATTTTATGGTTTGTTTGCCAGAGAGTTCGCACGCAACACAAACCAAGTAGAGGATTAAACATTTAAAACTATTCATGTGTTACAATAATAGTGTATTCGTTTATTTTAAGTAAATTTCTTTTTTTAATGATGTCTACAAAGAAAGAAAGAAAGAAAGAAAAAAGCAAAAGAAACATATAAGAAATACAGATGGTGGAGACGGACCATAAACACACCTGAAGCTGAAATCAGCAGAAATAACGAAGAAAGCAGAGATATAACTGTGACACAAGGAGGAATCTACAGGTGTGATGGAGAGAGAGGAAATCCCTCTTTCTACAGCCAACCAAGCAATGATGTTACCATAGAGATAATGTGTAAGTTTCTTCTTCAAAACTAAACTAAAACAATGAAATTTAAACGTCTCATGTGATTTAATGTTTCTCTTCATATCTGATGGAAACAGTTTCTAACAAGGTTTCTGTGACTCGACGACCAAACCGGCCTCAGATGTTCAGTGGTGAGACGATCACTCTGACATGTGAGGTCCAGGGAGGAGAAACCACTGAGTGGACGTGTGAATGGAGTAGAGATGGGTCAATAATACACAGGACAAACAGTAAAGACTGGACTTTCAATGCCTCTGAGTCCAGCAGTGGAGACTACATGTGTCAGTGTAGAAGCAGAGACGACTCGTATTCTTCAACACAGTGGAGTGAAGCCATAACAGGTGATTTAATTGTTGTTTTTTCTTAACAGATTGTAGAAATAAGGTTTTCCTCATATGTTGGATTAATTTAAGTTTCTTCTTCAGACAAACCACAATAAG